CCTTCTCGCTGGCTATCTCTCCTTGCTCCCTCTCCTGGCTGTCTCTCCTGGTTGTATCTCCTCACTCTCCTCGCTGTACGGTGCCAGAGTGTTCAGGTTTTGCTTGAAGAAATGATAACAACCCTAATACAAATCACTAAAATCTCATATAATCTTTAAATCTGAACTCTGGGCAGAATGATTCTGTCATCTGTAAGACAAAACAAGATGCGTCCTATGTGCAGATTGGTATATAGGAGTGTCAACGCGTTTCCTATATCTGCACATAGGACGCATCTGACAGACTGCTACTGCTATTATCCCGGTTCGGTCTCTGCATTGTTCTAAATGCTTTTGAATTTCCACTTTTGTGAGTACCTATTCACTTACCCATCCTCCTTTTAATTGTCAAAATAAAACTGATCTGCACTAGGAAAAGGCGCCCCTCTCTTGTTTTGTCTTACAGTGTCTTCAGTCTCCCTGACTGCATTGGGGCTGCCTCCTGCATAGATGCCAATACACTAGCTCTGCTTAAGAGACCATAAACGATAACCTCTGGCGCTTCCTGATACATTATTTCTGATTCTGTCATCTGTATAAAGGTGCTCTCATACCTTCAGCAGATTCGTTCTTCTTTACGTTTGCCACATTTTGGCTAAATTGTGTTGAAATTTATTGGAGTCAATAGTGAAGAGAAATTAAGGTGGTGCTTAATGGTATAATGGGCTTTACATGGCTCCTGAGGGTTGGGAGAGCTCCTTTAATTTTCCCGGAGCTGTTTTCTTCTCTCAGAAAATAATGTCTTCGTAGGTGTACATTGATTGAAAGAAAAACAATGGAAGCTGTCAAGTAAACAATGACATCATGTGCACATGACTTTGTTTGTCAACAAAGCCACATCAGTGACATGGCTTTGTTCACCAACAAAGCCATGCCACACAGCAATGGGGTTCGAAAGAGCTTGGTTGATGAACATGTCATACAACAATGGGGAACTTTCTTTAAGCTATTTTCCCTCAGTAGTGCCACATGGTGGAATTATAAGCTAATGAATTGCTGTTTTCATGGCAAAATCAAGTTCCGAGTTCCCTCATCCATAGTAACATTCTTTAGTAAATCATCACCTCCAATTAAAGATTATGGATGTGTTAAATCTCAGTTAGATAGAGGAGCCAAAGGTTTTCTAAAGTTGTACTACAGAGCAATGGGTTAAACTATTACCAGGGTGAGGTCAGGGACTGACAAGATTTAGCTTAGTCATAAATTAGGAGTGACTGAACATTTGTAGACAGCCAACTGCACACATCCAGCACCTCATTAACATGTTTCAGGCAAAATGCTAACAACTCCACTGCTAATTCTACAATTACTAGCAATCTCCGAGCAGCTATGTGGATGTGCCGAGATCCAGGAAGACGCTCCGGCCCCCGCTGGCCTAGCACAGTGTGCGAAATGCTTTTAGTTTTTCACACAAGCCTGATGCTTGGTTAATGCATGCTGGGAATATCACGTTAACACATGCCAGGAGGGGTAATAGCATTATATTGTGCAGAGAATAATTTGCTGCTGCACAAAAGGGAAGATCATGGCAGCACAGGATACATGCTACATGTATCATAGGACCCGCAGTGCAGCCAGAAGCTATAGGCTAACTTTTTAAGGGCACAGGCAGAATAATCTATTACGGCCTCACGGGGAATGTTTTCTTAAATGATACACAGACCTAAAATTAGATTTGCTTCCTGCTTTAGTAGGTGTTAGCATCTCATTTCAACAAGTAGCTTGTAGTTACGGGACAGACAGCCTGGCTAATGCAGCGGGATTCAGATCACTTGTGTGATCACAATTGTTGCACTTTTTTTTTTCCACTGTCCAGAATCAAATTACTTCTATTCTTATCCTGGTCAGATTTAGAGGAAGAGCAAGTAATGGAGTGTGCTGTCCCTGCCAGCACATATATGTAATACATTTTAATCAAGAAGGTGGACACCTCAGTAAGAGAGGAATTAAAGTAACAACACATTTGAAGGACATTTTTGACATGACATATTTTTGATTCATTAATGTTCCATATTTGTATTATTGTATTTCATATGTAGATTTGTGAATGCTCCCTCCCCTGTAGCCATATCAGGGAATGATATTAGTATGTCTGCTTACAGTGAACCTCAGAAATACCCTATATGGCCAAAGGTTGTAGACACCTAACCATCCCACCTACCTATGTTGGTCAAAATTACATGGACCCCTTTCTAAATTGTGCACCTTGTGGATACGTGTTGTTGAAGGCCCTTTCTGTTCCACCATGACAGTGCCTCTGTACACAAAGAAAGCTCCAAAAACACATGGATTGGTGGGGAGGAACTTATTTGTGAGGTCAGATACTCAGGTTGGATGAGAAGACCCATCTCGTAGTCGGCATACCAACTCATCTCAAATGTATTCAACAGGATTGAGGTCAGGGCTCGGTGCAGGCCGTTCTAGTTCATCCACATCAAACTGGACACATCATATCTTTATGGAGTACATGGGGGACAGTCATGCTGGAATAGAAAAGTGCCTTCCCCAAACTGCTGCCACAAAGTTGGAAGTGTGCAATCATCTAAAATGTCTTTGTAAGGACTGGAAACACGTGGACCCAATCATTTGTAGAGTGGTCCACACACTTTTGGCTGTATAGTGTAGGTGTAAGGGGTAGGTGTCTACAAAGATCATATAGTGTAAGTGACTCACTCAGTAATGGGGATCAGGTGGTAGTCCAGGACCTGTACCTCTAAACACAAGTCAGCAATGTCAGTTCCCTATTTTAGTCCATTCAGGACATCTGCATGGAAAACTTTACCAAGAAAGCTCATATCACTGTATCAAGGACATGACAGCATAAAGCTTTTTAATTGAGTCTGTCCTCCAGCCTTAAAGCTGTAGGTAAAGCACTCATTGCCTCTCTACAAATGTCTCTTTGTCATGGAACTGCATGAACTCGTCAGGAATCAGTAATAATAGACTTCTTCTGTATGGTACTATTAATAATGTGTTATTTCTGTGTTGTAGGTGGCTAATAGACTGTTACGCGCAATCTAATAAAAACAATCAGGCATCTGAGTTAATAACCGCTAGCATGTCATTGTTTTGAAATACACTCAGATGAAAGTAAATAAAGGCTTAGTTACTTAGATGCAATTAAAGTAATATAAATCTCCGCTGTATCATTTCAGCAACACAGATCCTGGATGAAATGTGTAATGTGCCCACTGAAGCATAGAAATAGCATTGTTATGTCAATTACCCTTCATTGTTGAAGAATGCAAGTTGCAGAGCAAAACAGCCAATTACTTGGCCGCTGATGCTATTTGAACATATCAGGAGATACATTGTCATTTGTATGTCCCTTGCTGTTTTATTCTATGAAAGAATATTGCAGACAGGGGTGAACTCCTTTTTATGCAATCAGAATTGAATGTGGAAAAGGACTCTTGGGGAATAAACATTGGTAAAATGGAATTCTTGTTACAAAAATAAAAGCTGGTGGATCTAGAAAATTAGATTTAGGACTTCTACACATGATTATTAAACAGGAGCATGGAGTGTGTGTTTCCAGAGATTAGCTGAAGTTAGATCTGTCTGCAGCATAAAGCTCTGCCTTCCCCTCCTATAGCCTAAACTGGGACAGTAGTGCGACCCAGGTGTTCCTGTTCAAGGCTGAAGTCTGGCCAAAAGTCACCATGAGATTGATCAGGAAACTGATCCTGTGTTCCCATCCCACCTTTCTTTGAAGTCTGAGCAGATTCATACCTGCTCTGGAACACCTTTTGTGGGCAATAAGCATTGGTAAAATTAAGTTCCTGGTTGAAAAATAGAAGCTGGTGTGTCTAAAAATTCAATAGGACTTCTACACATGCTTATCTAACAGGAGCACTAAGTGTGTGTTTCCAGAGATAACCTGAAGTTAGATCTGTCTGCATTATAAAGCGATGCCTTCCCCTCCTATAGCCTAAACTGTGACCCAAGTAATCATGTTCAAGGCTGAAGTTTGGCCAAAAGACACCATGAGATTGAGCATTAGACTGACCATGGTTGCACATCCCACCTTTCTTTGAAGTCTGAGCAGATTCAAACCTGTTCTGGAGCAACTCTTGTTGGGAATAAGCATTGGTAAAAAAGAATTCTTGGTGCAAAAACAAAAGCTGGTATGACTAAAAATTCAAATTCAGGGCTTTCACATGTGACTATGTTACAGGAGAGCGAAGTGTTTTGGCTTCAAAATATAACCTGAAGCTAGGACTCTTTGCAGCATGAAGCATTGCACCTACAGTCTAAACTGGGACCGTTGTGTTACCCAAGTGTTCTTGTTCAAGGCTGAACCTGGACCAAATGAGACCGAGAGACCGACCATGCTTGCACATCCACCCGTTCCCTAAAGTCCAAATCTGTTTTTTACTGATAACCGTACTCTGTGTGAGCTGGTTGATCGTTACAAATGTGTGAGATGAATCACGTGAACATTTGATGCCTACTATAAAATATAATGTGTAAAACAAACTAAAATACACAGTAATATATATTATAAATGTATTCTATTACTTTCGTAGAGGTATTAACAAGCAACAACATAAACTTTTCTGTGTTTTAGTTGCATGCAGAGATGATGGGGATAAAGTTTCTGGCTGTTTCCACAACCAGTCCAGCCAGGGCCTCCTCCAAGTTGCGTATGGTTTGACACAACTGCTTGTGAAGTCTTCTTGGCATCTATAGGATTCCCGAACCTGTTCAAATGCCACCTCAGTTAAAATGCATTCCCAGGGTCCCAAACTTCTCACTCCATATAGTAGAGTAAGCCCAGCTGTTATGTGGGGCAACGTCATTTCTACTGAAACCTCAAGCTCATGACCATGACAAGTAAGGATAGGCATAAGGATTGACCGGAGTCATTTGTCTGGCTGACTTGTTACAACTAGACTGCAGTTATGGTCACTAATGGAATTTTCATAAACCCTTCTTCAAAACCACACAACTTTTTGTTTTATGTTGACAAAATGTTTAATATCTGTACAATAATAGCACCAGGGCTTTATACTTTTGTTCAACACTGTGTGGTGTCTTTATTTTTACAGAAATAAAAACAGCAACTGATATGTTTTGTTGGTTATCGTCTGGCTCATTTAAAGACAATGGAAAAATTGTAGAGAGAGGAATACAAAATGGCGGAGTTGAGGATGGGCGCCAGCGATAGGAACGAAGAGTAACAAGAGAAATGCATAATTATAGAACAATTCAAACATATTTCAACAAATATTTCAGAAGCCAATTTGCTTATGTTTGAACGTGAACTGGTACGGCCTCGACGAGTGAGTTCATTGATATTCTCACGGAAGCACCACCAATCTGTACTGTGGACCACAAAATTTCAATATACCCATTGAGTAACAGAGGCGTACTTGAAAACATGCGGTTTTAACATACGCAAGGCCAATTCACAACCACTGAAACGGAGATAGAGGAAACTTGGCTGTGGCACGGAGGTCATGGCGATGAACGGAAATCTATTAATGAGAGGCATTTTCTTTAAAATGAAAGCATACAGGGGAGAGAAGTCAACACAGAGTACCAGGTTTCCCTCAAACTCTTTTTTTTTTAGTTTTTTTTTTTTTTTAAGAAAAAACTTTGCTTTAAAAACAATTGTGCAACAAAATATTTTTTTCCCCAGGATACAATAAAACAAGCACAATAAACAATATTTTCATAAAAAAGAAATAATTTCTTGTGGTTATTATCTGTTTGTTCTTTTGCTCTGGATACATACAAGCGGACAGGCATCCAATGTCCCATTCAGTCTTTGTGGCTTACACATCAATAAAACCCAAATGTTTTGTTGAAAAGGGTGGAGGGGAGGGGAGAGGGGGAGAAATATGTATTGCTTCGTTTGGTGTAAGTGGTATGTTTTTATGTTGTTGTTCTAAAAATACTTTTTTCCAGATTCCTTTCCAGTGAAGAAGTTGTGGTAAAAGATATTTTCTCATGTGCCAGTCAAATTTCTTTCACTCTCAGGAAGATAAGTCTTTGGTTGACGAGAAAAAAAAAAAAATCTAAAACCTATTTCCAACCAGAGGCCGCCCTTCTGGACAAGGACAATTCTTTATTGAGCAAAGGAAGCATTGAATTTGAGCTGACGGTCCCTCGCAAGGTCGGTCTGAGCAACATCCGGATAGTAAACTTATACTGTTGTAGCTGGACCATACTGAAAGTGTAAAGGAGAAGTCTCTCGGATCCGGACAGAAAAGTGACCCTCGTTCCGCACATTCTGGAGAGAGAAAGGCAGATAATCGTCAGCCAGCCACTGTTCCTTGTTCTTTTCAGAAGTGAAAACCAGTGCAAAATGGTCTAGCTGGTCTTCGGCATAGCAGTAGCCTTCTGTACCTCCCAGCATGCTCCTGGAGATCTCATTCATCTGAAGGACCACCAGCTTTACAACTTCCTGGGCCTGTGTCTTGCTTGTAATGTGCAACTGTGTACACATAAGAATAAAAAGAAAGAAAGGGCTGGTTTTAAAGGACTTTATATACTTTGGTTCTGCTTTTTAAATGACTTTTTATACTTTGGTTCTGGTTTGAAAGGATCGTCTGTTAAACAGCAAAACCTCTTGACATCTGGTTCAGACAAAAAATTTTTTGGGTGTATTTCTTACTTTTGACCAGAGAATTATTAAAAGGAAAACTTTCAGAGGGATCTATTTATTATCCTGGTGCCAGGAGCGCATGGAATGTGAGCTGTAACAAGAACATAATTTAGAAAGTAGAGTTTCTACCCTGAGAAGACCATTCCTGTCCAAGTTGGCCCATTCTTTTCATTTGAGGAACTGACTGACTTTCTTTAGGGAGAGAAAAAGGGGGTCCTGCTTTGAAACCCAATAAAATCCAGGGCATTGGAACACGTTTCAGCATACAGAATGGCAGGGGACCCGCTCTCAGAGTGAAGTGGGTCATTGAAAATGGAAGCCTGTTTAATATAAACTATAACATTTAATAACTGAACCTCCAAGTATACTAATCATATACACAATGCTAAGGGCACCTGTTGGCTGAATTAACACAAGAAGAATCTGAAATGCTTGGTATGTTTAAAGTAACTCTTTACTGAACTCATGGTATGTAAACTGCCGCCAGCATGTTAGTGTAGGAAACACACCTCCTCAGCTTTCAGAGCACCACAGGGCCCCAAACCCAGCATGCTCTGACCTAACTGCCAATTTCCTTCTGTAGAGTCAGAACATGGCCCAGTCCCAACCTGCAACTTCCTTCTGTGAATTTCTGTTATAATGGATTTGATAAAGATCACACTTATGTTGGAACATAGGTATGTCTGAGATCTAATCTTAATCAAAGTCTTAATAGCTTTTTTTAACAAATAACACCAACATGACTTTGGATTGCCATATTTCTGTTGACCAAACAAGGTCATAGATAGAGGAAGTTTGTTAATCTCTATATTTATCATCCACTGCAACCTCCCTTACTGCCAATAACCCTGAGTAACTCTTTCTGTGGCTGTTGATCAGAGCCATGCACTGCTCATAATAGATTTTGAACCATTCTTGCCTACAATGGTTTTTCAGTCCATATTTTGTATGCCTGGTGGTGTTTTTACCCAACAGTTTTACGCACAGCTATGACGGAAGAGCAATTTGTTCAAAAAAGATATGGCAAACACTGAATGTGCTATTTTTTTTAACATAATCTGTTATTGTGCCCATTCATTGCAAAGAGACAGGTTTCCTTAAGCGTCCACCTTCCCTCCTCCACTAACTGATTATCATCTGAGGTGCCCTCCCCTGATGCTCTGTTGCTGGAGCTCTCAAAAATACCTGGTACTTCCAGGTATTGGGGGTATGTGACCTTCTCCCCTTTCTCACGGGATGTAGAACCCTGGACTGAGAAGACAACCACAAGGCCTGAACACTGTCATATGAGGAAGGGGAGAAGATCATTAACCCTGCATTAGCACTGACACAGACCAACATGGAGCTTGCACTGGGATTACTCTCAGACTTTCAACAACCAGAGCAGTGGGGGAGCACAGCACAGGTGAATATCAGTATGGGTGGGGGAAGGCCTGCCAAGAAAAAAGACTATTTATTTATTCTTATAACTTATCTGAATATCAAACCATATTTTAGATTCCAGTCATGGGAGTAAAGGCTCAACGTTTTTTGTAAATGCACGTCTACATCCACAGACTGTTGGCTATTCCCTACATCTGTAACCATTCACCCTCATATACAAGCTATGAGTCAACTTAATAAATATATTTGTAGAAGTGCTATCCTTGTATAATACTTGAGATATTTGTCATATATGGAACCTTACTGTAATCAGTAATATTGGCCCAATGGTAAGGATCAGTGTTCATTGCTTTTAGGGATGGATTAAAAGGCTTGCTGTGGGAGCCCCATGTTCTGTGCTCTTCCCCAAGTCAATGAGGTCATGAAAATATCCCACTAATTAGATGAAGTCTTTCTTTGTTATTATGTTACTGATTGTTTGCTGTGAGGTAGCTGGACTGTGATAGCAAATAGCTTTTTTTTTAATGGAAAACATTAACACTGGGACTGTAACTTTTTTGGGATGTGACATTTTAGGGCTCACGTGAAGGAAGGATGAAGTACTTAAGTCAACCTAAAGTAGGTTCTTTCTTCAAAGTTTTTTTTACAGTGTCACTGTATATTTTTCCTCAAGCCTAATGTTGATTTTTTTTAGGTTTATTCCCCAATGGGAAGTGCAGAGAGGAAGCCCGATCCTGGAGCGACAGCTGGCTCTAAGCTAAGGTAATGTGTCATATACTTATTGCTGGGCAGAACTGAGGAATGCTGGTCTGTGTTTCTGGGCTTATAACCCCTCCACCAATGTAGAAGTGCATGCTGTCCTATGGAGAAAATGATATGGACATAATCTGACACACACACAGCCGCATTCTACAGTACCTTAACACTCATTTCTTTAGGCAGACCAGTGTCATACTGCGGATATATCCGTAGGGTTACAGAGTTGTTCTTTTTGCCTTGACCTGCTACAGTTCTTGGTTCCAAAGGCTCTTGGAAGTCATGTGTCCATTCAACAGAGTGTGTGCGGTGAATCCGCCGTGAGCTTTCACATGGCTGATCATGGTCTGGGCTAAAAGAAGTGCTTGTCCTCAGCCCTCGGATACTGCGATAACCAGTAGGCTTTGACTCTGTTGGAGAACTATCAACAGAACCTGGGCAGGACTTCCGAGATGCCTTGTAAGGTTGTTTGGGGAAGTCCAAGCTGCTGGTACGGACGCAGTAGGCTTGCCGCTTCTCTGTAATGCGTAAAAGTTCAATCTGGCGGCTGGGAAGCACAAAGTCACTGTCATAAAGCTGCTGTGGACGGTCATCTTCCTGAGTCATTACTTTGGGCTCATGTGTTTGAAGCACATCAGGCGTTCCATCTCTGAAGCTGCGGATGGTTCTCCTGCTACACTCCTGACCAGAGGGATAAACCAGATCTAACTCCTTTGGACTCTGAGCTCTGCTAGAGTCATAATCACTGTCCGTAGCAAGGAAGACTTCAGAAGAGCCCTCTTCATCCGATATGCCATGCAAATCTAGAAAAGGGGAAGACTGGTTTGCAAACTTCACATCCAACAGTTCATTGTCAGAATAGGGACCTGTCAGGAGATCTGTAGGTGCAAAAAATTCAGCTTAAAATCATTTCTGCATGTAGTTTCCTTACAACTTAATAATAAACTCGTGTCTACAGTCCAGCTATCTACTGTGGTTTGAATAAAACTTACACCATTGCCTAATAAATGGTTAAAATGTAATGTAAATTAAGGCTGAATCTGTGATAAGAACCAGCAGTTCTGAGTGCCCAGCTGGCTACAAGAACATAAAGCATCGGTCTGCATGGTCCCCCCACTATCCTAAAATAAAGGGCAAACACTTTGAAGGTTATTCACAAAGCTGCCAAAGGCCGCTGAGTGAATAATCCACCCGAAGTGAAGTGAGCTGAACGCTGTTCGGCTATTCACTTCATGCTTGTACAGCTGATTTCAGACTACATCGGCTTGCTTCGGCCGAACATGCCCAGCATGTTCGACTGAACCGAAGTGAAGAAGGAGTTCGACTCAGCCGATCCAACATCTGGATCTGCTGAGCCGAACCTCCGGCAGGCTACTCACTGCTGTTCGGCCTATTCTCATAGGGGCCGAGCGGCAGTGAGTGAATAGCCGAATGCTAATAACAGTTCAGCATCCCCAGGTAACCTGGGGATGCTGATCTGTCATTGCAACTGGGCAGAGCCAGCTGTGAGATCACAGCTGGCTCCGCCCAGCTGTCAGTTGCAAGGCTTTCACTTCGGCTCAGTCGAGCAGAAGCATATGCCGCTCAGCCAGCTCCGGGAGCTGTACGGGCTATAGCGAATAGCCCATACAGCAGCCCTTCAGTTATCCTGAACCGAAGGGCTCCAGCGGCCATAGCTAGACGAAGGATCAGCCGGAGCTACAGCTGATCCTTCAGCTAGCTTTGTGAATAACACTCTTTGGTTCTGGATTTGTGTTAAAAGTCATGACTTGTATGTGACTGTTTTAAAAGAAAAATACTATGCATGAGTGATGGTCCTTTTGGATCCTTTTAATCTGTCTCAGCATACACACCTAAAGGTGCCCACACACCTTACATCTATTCTTCGAAAAACAAATGCGATCGGGTTGATGGGAAGTCAACGATCACAATTACTGTACAACTGGCCGCATTTCCTCAATGGGTCAGACTGGAAAACAGTTTTCGAATCATACGAAAATCGATGGATAAGTGGCGTTTTCGAACATGAACACTGCACATGCGCAAACGAAAATCCGTTCTGTTGATCGACGAAATTTGGCCAGTTAGTATTGCCAGTTAGCTTTTAGTTGGATCACTTTAATCAGGAATAACAGGAAAAAACAAAGCACGGTTTGGCAATGGTGACCCCCTCAACCTAACCTCACTGATTAAACACATACATACAGTAGCACACACTTTGCTTTACCATATCTTACCAAACACAAACATTTAATGCAGCATGACAAGTTAGGAAATGTAGTGTTGATCTTTTTCACTAGTTTGCTTAGGAACGACAAAAAGGTACCTTTGACCTGTGTACCTTCAATCAGGGGGAACAGTGAGCTAGTCACAGTGAGGTAGTTATCGGTGCTGAGCGATCTCCTAGCTTTTCAATCAATGGTAGAATGGTTCCAATAAATGTATAGTAATCTAAGGACTTCCCTTATGGACATTGTTCAGCCCACTCACCGTTGTTAAGCTTCCTGTTAGTTTCAGGTGAGGGAGTCGGAGATGGGAAGTAGTCTAGATGAGATGAGTTGGACTGAGGTTTCTCCTTTAGTAGAATGTCTCCAGTGACACTGAGGAACCAGGTGAGTGGCACAGCACATGATGGCTGTTTGTACCTGGCATGTTGGAGGGCATCCATCATCCAGCGCATTTCTCTCCAGATTTCTTCCATTTGCTGTAGTGGATAAGAGGACAAAGTTGTCATTAGCAGAAGAATGGCCAGACATTACCACCCCGTGTGTGAAGCTCTTTTTGCATTCTACTTTTTAAACAATTTAATCATAGAAAATGTACAGACAGAAAATATAGTAATGCAGTAAACTTGCTTTTGCTTTATTAAAGCTGAACTCTAGGTAGATCTAAAAACACAAATCATGCAGCTCTGTATTTATTAATACATCCTTAAACGTATTTTTATATGCAAGCAATGTAAATACCTGAATCTAACTTGGAATCAGTCTCTTGTTGTCCCTGTATAGCAGAGCTCAGACTGGGGGATGAGAGAAAGGGCAAGGACTGAATCAGTTGTGCTGCAAAGATCCTGTGCTAACAAGCAGCGTGCTCATAGGAGCTGCTTCTCCTTTGCTGTCCAATCAGAGGCTGGGGAAGGACAAGACCTGTAAGTGCTAC